AGATAGTAGGCATACAGAAACAAATGGGCTATTCATTGTTGTGAGTGTAAATCATTCCTCATGGCGAAACTTATGCCGATTCTATAACTGATTGTAAATAATATAATTTTTAAGACAGACTGGACAGTGGTTCCCAAAGAAAACATAATAGCTTCACGTTCTCCCAGACAAACTGCATACTGCTGAAGCATAAGATAGCAAGTAAATTTTCAGCATATACGAAAGTAAATAAATAAAATAATTAAATAAACTATAGAAAAAGAGATCGCATTATTCTTAAGTCAGCATTCTCACGGTAGTTCTCCATGTCGCTAGCAGATACACCCTCGAGTGATTTACCAGATTACTTGGCGAAAGTCCACTGTCACGTTGATTTCAGCTGCTGAGGGGACCATTTGAGAAGGCCACAGCTGCATGGAATTTGAATACCTGGTTCACTGATTTAATATCGCATCATCAAGTTGTACCCAAAAAAGTACCTTCATCTGACGGCTGTATATAGAGAACAGAAATATGGACCTCAGATTCTACAGTCATAAAGGATGTTTTCGATGCCGCCTGGAATATGCATGCATTACAGTCGCCTAATCTGGAGCTGTCGCCCTTATAGATGGCTCCCTAATCAGTCAGAAAGGAGGGGACAATGCATTTTCATCATGTAAATCTGATGAAGCGACACGCGGTTACTCTTACCGGCGTAATTGTAAACTACAATTACGGTAGTTCATTCTAGAACACCGTAATCTGTTTTTCATTAAAAGATTGTACGTAAAAATGGGTTTTAATTGGTGCATCGTTGTTTTCTCCAACATGAAAGGCGGTCTAGCATCTGTGCTTGAATTCCACTAAGCCTGGCCCTCTTAAATAATCCCACAAGCAGGTATCAATGAGGAGACGGTGAATTACCTACGTGTAAATACGGTTAAGCACAAGGAACAAAAAACTAAAAAACATATTTCCATTCCTTGATTTACAATGCCCTATCGCACCGCTGATGCTGCAAAGATATTGAGGGGGCATTCAAGCAACTAAGTGGTTAGCGATACCTCAGCACTTACGGTACCCAGATTAGGTCGAATGATTTTGGATAGATGAAACAAATATGACTGGTAGACAATGGTGTCATAATTTGTACTTCTAATACGATACTCCCTACGAGTGTTATTATGCTACAACACTGAAAAAACAAAATAATAAAATCAGTGAGATTGAAGACAATTTCATAAAAAAAACAATAGTCGTACATTGTCGTCCATTTCATTGCAATACATGTCAATTTCATCCACTTTACTTGCTTTCGCCGCTTCCTCTGCTTTGAGACTTGCCAAATAATAGCGATTCTAGAAACCGAGGAAAAACATATGATGATCAACAAGGCACAAAAGAAAATTTCAAACTTCCTGGTTCTGCAGCGACAAACGTTTCATTTCCTCACTTGACACCGGTTGACTGGCGATAATTTGTTGGTTTCGCTCTGTCTCCTTCTTTAATTCTTCTTGTTTCGCCTCTAAAGCAGTCAAATGCTGGCGATGGAGTAAAACTCTAATGTGACAAGAAGCCATTCATGCTACTTACTCAACAGTTGGATCTGCTTCTTCACCTCCTCCACATCGTTTTCCTTTGCTTTCAAATAACTCTGTTCCTTTTGCAGATGAGAATCCAAAACTGACAGGTCTTCTCTGAGAGTTTTGGTTTTCATCGGTAGTTCATAAGCTTCTACCTTATTGTGTAATGGGTTGAAAATGCACATTACAAATGAAACTAGAATCCAGTACCAACTCCGCTCGAAGCTCGTGATACTCTTTCCCCATCGACTGCACTTCTTCAACAACTTGAGCGCTATTTCTCGCAGCAATGAAAGTTTCTGAAAAACATAAACATTATGAAAAACAGTTGTTTGATCGAACAGCAATAATCATCATACTGAATCGTTTGCAAGATAGGATGTATTCAAAGAGATACATGATATCCGTTTCATTTTCAACACTTCTGGTGCAATGCTCGGGGTATTTCATTGTCAAAAAGATTTCTCCCTATAAGCAGACCTTTGTCTATCTTCTGCTCCGATGCCCTGTTAGTATTCTTGCTAGCTTTAGCACTTTCTGGATCCCGCAGAAATAGCTCTACGGCTGGAGCGAAAGGCTTACACGAAACAAATATATGAAGCATGATTCGGACATTCTCAAAATTAGAACCTGTACATTATAAACACAGATTAGACTATCCAAAAAACAACACCGCACAATTCATTCAACCTCTGGAAAAACAATCTGAGGCCACTTACCAAATGATGAACGATCATTTAAATTTAATCATGTTTCATAGTCTGTAAATAATATCTAAGTGTACCTGTATAAGTGTGCCCATAAAACTCCTATGGGGAGGTTTGAACTTGGTGTTCATATGGCTGAATAAAATGTCTTTTACTATATAAATTTTCTTGAGCAAGGAATTTATTTCCAGTAACGGATTAATGGTTGACCTGAGAGCAAAGGGACACGCAAAAATATTGAAGTTACTTTCGCCTTGACCAGTCTTATAGCTAAAAACTAACATATAACGCAAACCGGCAATTTCTTATAAAAACCGCATCAGTTTACAATGTCAGTCTATGATTCCATGCAACTTTCACTCTATGATGCTAAAGCATATTAACTATTTAAGTATTCTACCTGAGAAGTTGAAAAAAGGCATAATTCGTTCCAATTTATAATATAGTTCGTTGCCCCTACTTCTTCATCAAAAAGATCATCATATCGTTTCAATGTACTCTACAAGATTTTTCCAGAACAGTCAGAATAATAAAAACAACCAAATTCATAGATGTGAAAAGACTAAGAGATCCTTCAATAGCATAAAGCAAGCGCGTTAGATGACGGGACGTGACAACTGTAGGCACAAATGAAAAGTCGAACACCTTCCAGGTGCTGAGCTACGAAGAAAACCGACTACCATGTACAGTATATTAAACAACTGAAAGAACTTCTTCTGCAATCGATGTCGGTCATCGTATTTTTAAGAAATACTGAAGCACCGAAAGTCTCTGTAGCTGAGACCAAAAGTATTTTAATTTACAAACATAAGTGCTTGAGAGATTCACGGTTCAGGACACGAAATACTGCAGACGGTACAACACCTCATTGACTTTGGCAAGTTCAAACACTTCTCTTTATAACTATTGGCCCAGAAAGCCTGAAGTATTATTTATTCCAATTTACTTGACCTTATCAGCAAATCACACTGAATTTAGTTATTAGGGTATTCGGCTTCGCGTTGGGCTCCTCGAGGGTTAATTAGCGTTCTCTAATCGTACGGAGGCCATATTTTCGAGGGATGCGCAACTGTCCGTATAGTACCTCTGACAGAAAAGGCTGATCGAATGCATGAAATAGTACTTCGAACTCCCCTAACGACTAGTGTCGAAATTACATGGCGAAAAGTGTAAAGTTACTTATACTACACCAATACTGAGGCAGTATACAATAAATGGTAATCGTTACAGCAGGCTCTACTGCAGAAACGGACCGCCCTATTCTTTCCAGTTACCTCGGGGACCATCTAAAAACGCCGCAGCTCCATAGTTTCTAAGCGCCTGCAATGTATAGGACGCAAAACCACATCAATGAGATAGGCTGAATAAAGAGCTTGATCGAGAACCAACATACGTTAACAAAACGTGAGAAAATAAAAGAAAAGAATACCCCAGCTCTAAGAAAGATATCGAGAATGGCAGATTTATTCCGCCGGTACATATAATCCTTAAACTACTGGTACCGGATTTACCGGGTTGTGTCCAACATACTGCAGGCGCTTAAACAACATTGAGCCGTCGCCTGCGTAAATGATCTTTTTAGTCGACCAGAAGCGAGAGGTGATGCATAAGTGCAGCACAAGCCGGTGTAAAATCTGTCTTACACGCTGCAATGCCGTTGCACTTTTCACCATGTAAACCCAGCATAAGTAGCTAAAGGATTATATTTGCCGGCGGAATCGAAAAGTTGAGATTTTAGGTAGCTCGTCAGAAAGTTTGGGTATTCATTTCATTTATTTCAAGAATGACTTCAAACAGATATTGCTGTTCGTCTGTCACCTTTATCTTAGGTTAAAAGATCTCAAACAGCAGAGAAACCCAAAATTTGATGTCTGACCTTTAGAGGGTAGCTCAGATTGAAATAGGAAATGTTCACTGCTGTGGGAAAAGTCACGTTCGTCATCGAATTCAAGTTTGCCTTAATGAGTTGTTTTGATACCTTGCATCTACTCCACACTCCTACAGCCAGTGGGGTGTTGCAATGCAAATCAGATTTTGAAAACAATTCTTCCTTCTGTCAGGACAGCTTCATGAAACTAAACCATGCGTTGGTCTCTGAGTTCATGTGATGGTTTTCTCAGACCTGTCGTCGACAGCATCTGTTCGTTTGTGACCATGTATAGCGCAGACAGCAGTGTTGGAACCTGCATAGAAAAAAGTCATGACGCTTCAGGAAGGCAGATGCTTCCAACGGTTATTTCTATTGTAACGACACAAACTGAAAACGAACTTGGATTAATTCATTCGTTTTGTACAACCGCTACCCCTTCAAATCAGTGATATGCTGACTGTTTTCTTGGTACTCATTTGATGGTGTCTCAAAGTGCTGAAAAGCAGGCATCTACAATCTGCTATAACAATGACAGTTAATTTAATTTATTAGAAAGAAAACATTTATGAACAATTTCGTAAGATAATCAGAAAAATTTTCACTTACTTTCAAAAATTTCATCGTATTCCTGGTAACCATCTTCACCGCTTAAGTACATTTTATAACATTCCATCAAATGATGCGTCAAGCCCTAAAAACTGTATATTGTTTAAAATCTTGACAGCCTTCTTTGAGCTAACAGAACTTACGAAGCCTAACGCAAAGCTACAAGTGGACAGCTTAAAACATTGTTTAAATCAAATTTATTATTGAAATTTTAAGGGGAGCAAAGCAAGAAATAAATTTGACCAATTAATTTCACAGTTTATTAGTGTCATACAGTGATGTATAAAAATTAATATATAAACTGGCTTAACAAAATCGTAAAGAAATTCACAACGCTAGAAATGCGACTTTTCAGAGCATGAACAGTCAGGCTCTCTTTACCATCATAAAATTTATTCAATTCTGACCTGAATGGCTAATGGTTTGCAAAACAGCAATAAACATAGCTGACAACTCAATGACCTAAAAAACTGCATATGGTTGATTACAACTCAATTCGTTCACCGAATATTGACTGGAGTAAAAAGAAGCAGCTACGCTGTTTGTCAGTAAGAGACGGAATCAAATGCAGGTCCTCACTCATGATCAGAAAAACGGGTACGACACAAAGATCCCTTATATCATTTGAGTGATAGAGCCCGTCGTTTTCTTTATTTTCCATTAAGCTTCAGATAGATAAAAAGCGACAAAAACAGAAAAATCTGACTGCGAGAGCAAGTCTACTAAACAGATCTGGTCATGGCAGTTGTTTCATGCCGTTTGTACCTCCATACGGCACCTTTTGAACTCACTTGGTAATACGAAATACTCTAACCGTGACGCCAAAAATCACACATCAGCAAAGAACATGAAAAATTGGCCAGATCATATCTATTCACTGAATTTATTAACATCAAAACATGATCAATTTTGCCGCATAGCCTGCAAAAGATGACGAATGATCATTAAAACATAAAACAATGTAATATAATGCAAATTCTTTAACACGTGCAAAACTTTACTGAATTTCATGAAACTGCGCATATGACGACACACATCGGTCAAAGCGCTGAACTTCACGTTAAGCATCACAGTCAGACACATGTCGGTCCAGTAACGCCATAAATGCATCCCCATGGAACGCAGTGTATGGGAAATGAAGGCGATGTCAGAGGGCATACTACTGTTTTCACAGATCTGTATTATGTAACTTTTTGTAGATGTTTTATCCACACAATATCAACTGTACTATCGATGAAAGAACTGAATGCGTGTAGTGTTTCATTGGGACCGTTAAAGCCATCAAATCTGTGAGGTAATCAAAAGTACCATCACAAACAAAATTAAATCACATTACAGCTAAGTCTCTAAAAGTCAGTAAAACTCTTGTTTTCATTACCTCTGTAAACACGTCCACTGTGTCATTGGCATAAGCAAATAAGTAGTCGTAAAAGTTCACGTCCATCACATACTAAAACGAAAATTACAATACATAAATTTTAACCACACAAAAGTTTAAAAGCCAAATATATTATAATTAACTTTATTTGAAGCTTCAAAGAAAACAAATAGCCTGGTCGACTTTCACTTTCAAAAAAAACCTTTCGGCTTTTTGTAGGAAGTGGGCAACAATCAAAGAAAGGGATTACTCAGCAGAGTAAAGTACGGTGGGGCTTGTTTCGTTTTAGACGCAACGGTAGCCGTAAAGGGTTTGACGTGAACTTTGAAACGGTCGGCCAACGAAGCTTTGGTAGATTATTATAAAACCCTAACGGGTGGCCATAACAACACAGTGGCTGAGAAGTCGTTGTCACTGCTGATCCGGACGGCAAATGATCTATCCTCTGAGGAAGACAATGACGGCCTTTGATCAACAAGCAGGCACTTGCTCGCATCGAATTAAAGAGGCTGCTTTGCAACGTTCCGCTTCAAGGAGACAGAATATAATAGGAGAAGCAATCGGAAGAAATATGGATTATGCACCAGGGTACTGACCCCTGACTTGTCAAAGCTGCAACCTGAGGACATTCCACTGAATGGCGCAAGGCGACACCCGTCGATCTGCATCGCAGTTTCTTTGAGAATGGCTTGTCAGAAGTTTGAAAAGGTGCTTAAAATAGTACATATCTCTTACAGCCCTTCGCACTGAAAAACAATAAGCAATTTTCCCCAATTCTCAGGAAAATATTAACTTCGAGCAGCGACCACCCCCCCC